CTGGAAACAAAGACAAGGTCAAGAGTAAAAGTGTGCTTGATGATGATTTCGACGGAGAGGAAGAAGATTTGGAGTTTCAAGATCCATCGGTGGAGGATAAGATGGGGGAACTGCGGAGAAAAGTTAGCTCATTAGCTGGTGGAATGTTTGAGGAAAAGAAGGAGAAGACGAGGGAGCAATTAGTTCAGAGGCTTTCTCAATTTTCAGGACCTTCTGATCGTATGAAGGAAATCAACCTGAACAAAGCTATAATAGAAGCACAGACTGCTGAAGAAGTATTGGAAGTAACAGCTGAGACAATCATGGCTGTTGCGAAAGGTTTAAGCCCGTCGCCTTTGTCTCCCTTAAACATTGCTACTGCACTCCACCGAATTGCCAAGAACATGGAGAAAGTTTCAATGATGAGAACTCGTAGGCTTGCATTTGCTCGGCAAAGAGAAATGTCAATGCTTGTTGCTCTTGCAATGACATGCCTACCAGAATGTTCAGCTCAAGGCATCTCAAATATTTCTTGGGCATTGTCCAAAATCGGCGGTGAATTGCTTTATTTGACAGAGATGGATAGAGTTGCAGAAGTTGCCACTTCAAAGGTTGAGGACTTCAATTCTCAGAATGTTGCTAATATTGCAGGGGCTTTTGCTTCCATGCGGCATTCGGCTCCAGAACTCTTTGCTGAGTTGTCAAAGAAGGCATCTACTATTATCATCACCTTTAAAGGCCAAGAGATTGCTCAGCTCTTGTGGTCATTTGCCTCGCTTTATGAGCCAGCTGATCCTTTGCTTGAATCTTTAGATAATGCTTTCAAAGGCAGTGACCAGTTCAAGTGCTGCTCGGCGAAAGAAATAGCAAACTACGATGAAATAGCAGACGTTGAAGTAAGTGATGGTGCTTCAGGATCTCCAGGACTTAGCTTTAACAGGGACCAGCTTGGAAACATAGCATGGTCTTATGCTGTACTTGGGCAAATGGACCGACCTTTCTTTGCCAATATATGGAATATCTTAACCACCTTGGAGGAGCAAAGGCTTTCGGAACAGTATAGAGAAGATGTCATGTTTGCTTCTCAGGTTTATCTTGTGAATCAGTGCTTGAAGCTCGAGTGTCCCCATCTTCAATTGTCACTTGATCATGTGCTCGAAGAGAAAATAACCCGTGCAGGAAAAACCAAAAGGTTTAATCAGAAAATAACTTCATCTTTTCAGAAAGAAGTTGGACGCCTTCTAATAAGTACAGGGCTTGATTGGGCTAAAGAACATGATGTTGATGGCTACACCGTGGATGTTGCTCTGGTCGAGAAGAAAGTTGCTTTAGAAATTGACGGGCCAACTCATTTCTCAAGAAACTCCGGTAAGTACCATCACTATGATTCTTTATTTATCTTGGTGTCTGCCGTAGCCAACCTGAACTCGGTGTTCATTTCAACTTTTGCGTCTCTACAGGACTACCATTAGGGCATACAATGCTGAAGCGGCGATATGTTACTGCTGCTGGATGGAAGGTGGTATCATTGTCTCTTCAAGAGGTTGGTTTACAACATTAAAAAACTCCATTTTTAAAATTGAGTTACTAGGATGATGCTATGGAATCAAGAAGAATTGTTCTCCATTTTTAGAATAATCTTTGCCAATCCCAATTATGAGTATACATAATTACATATCAACATGTGTTGACTTTGTTTTTATTTATTTTTTAGTGGGAAGAACATGATGAGTATACATAATTACATATCTCAACATGTGTTGACTTTGTTTTTATCTATTTTTTAGTGGGATGAACATGAAGGCAGCCATGAACAGCTTGAATATTTGAGGGAGATTCTCAACGGCTGCTTATAGAGAAAGACAGAAACGAAACATGCAAGGCATTTGTCATGTTAAGGTTGTTTATTAAAGTGGTTTTTAGTACTTACCATTATGTATATAGCTAAGATTATTGTATTAGATTTTGATGATTTATGTTTTAGAGCAATGAAACATAATTAAAATCATTTTTTTATTATACATTCTTCATCACAAGCTTTTTGCCAAGCGAATACAATAGTGTACATAGTTATCTTTCATGCAACAGGAAATCAAGAAACACACATAGAGAAGGAAACAATATAAGCATAGAGAGACACTAGTGTTTGATCTGAGACAACATAGTTCTGACATCTTTGCTGTTTGGCCTCTGTTTCGGATCATCCAAAGTACAGTAACAAGCGATTTTCAGAACCAGAAGAATCTGTTCCTCAAATCCTTGGTCCATCAACTTTGGATCAATCGCAAGGTTCGGATTCTCCGATGTTATCATTTTCCTCATCCACTTTATCAGACTCATCTCGTCGGTATGCTGAAAAAACTCATCTGAAGGAAGCTTACCAATCACCAAAACCCCAAGAATCACTCCGAAACTATAGATATCACATTTATCTGTGAACTTGAGAGTTTGATGATACTCTGTTGCTATGTATCCCACAGTACCTGCAAGTTTCGAGGCTGTAAGATGTGTGTTTGCATCGGGGATTGTGGCTGCAAGTCCGAAATCTGCAATTCTAGCCTCCATGTCATCGTCAAGAAGAATATTTGCTGGCTTTAAATCTCTGTGAATGATTCTTGGACTCTGATCCATGTGAAGGTACTCAAGACCAGCTGCTATACCTACAGCAATCTTGTGTCTTGCTGGCCACATTAGCTCTTTGTTTCCAGCTGCCACATCGGTTAGTATATCTTGCAAACTCCCGTTCTTCATGAACTCGTAAACGAGGAAATGGCACTCGGGTCTCGGCACGTGTGCTAACAAAGGGAGAAGATTCCGGTGCCGGATTTTGCCTACTGTGTTGATCTCTGATCTGATTTGCCTCATATACTTGTTCAGAGACCTGGATTCTTCATCCGTAAGTTCGGTTGCATCTTTTGGCGGTTGGATCACTTTCTTGACGGCGATGATCTTCCCGTTGCTTCCAGGTAGTTCCGCTTTGAAAACTTCTCCACAACCTCCTTTTCCAATGATTTCCATTTTAGCTACCGCTTCTTCGTCCTCCAAGAAAGCTAAATCTTCAGCTTTCTTGATCAATGGACTGAATATGGAAGGACCTGATTGTTTTCCTGACCCTCTTATTGCTGTAAGAATCATTCTGAACATCACCGAGAAGACGAATCCAGAGATTGTTCCTCCTATGCCTCCAACGAAGAATCCTAAGATCCATGCCACTACT